ACTACTACTACTATTTCTGCTACTGCAACTACTAGTACTGCTTCTACCACTACTACGACTGCTAACAGAACTGCAACCGACGAGAAGCAGCAGCGGCCAACCACGACACACGCCAGAATCACGTAACCACCGCAACCAGTGCCATAATCAGAGAAAACACCGCAGCCGCAGCACCCACTGCAACAACAGGAAAACACAAAGGCAAAGCTCAGCGACAACTCGCAATGCAGTATCACTTGTAGATACTAGTGGAAAATCAGATCACGATAACATAAATAGCTTAACTAAGAGTAGTGCCAATCAGCTGCCAGTCATGGTGTGGCCAGCAACGATGTCATGTCGATCATGAGGCTCGGATGGGGAGGCTGGTTCCAGATGGCCGAACCTTCACCAAAGAGCAGTTTATGGGCCGTCTGTCAGCCGTGACCTTGGTGCTTGGGACACATGGAGTGCGAGTGCTGGCGCGCCAACCCTAGTCTTCGAAATAGCCCTTGCTATCAGTCTGAGCCCAGAAGCCCGAACCCAAAGTCATTGGATCCCAAGGTCATCACCGAGGACCGGGTGCAGACGCACGGTGTAATCAAGTGCGCAAGCTGCTTGTCACCTTAAGCCCAGACACTTTGGTCGCTCCTTGTTCTTATGGCCATGCACCATGTTGATCGTGCTTTCCAGTCGCAGCACGGAGCAACTTGCTGCGCGTGCCAATGGAGAGTCATCACCCCTAACCTCAACAACGCGATCAGCTGGCAGGTATGCTGTTCAGTTCTGCAGTGGCGATCTCAGCAGCAAGGGCCCTGGCTTCTGCGGCAGGCTTTTGTTAGAGTGTCGATGGCTTTTGTTGAATCTTAATACATCCGAAACGGGGACGTTTCTATCGTTTTGGCGTGTGATGTTCATCCATGCAAGCCTTCATGTTCTGCAAACCTCGTGGCTGGGCTTTGGGACAAAGATTTTTTCAAATTACGCACCATGCACGCCGTACGCTGTGTTATTCTTGACCCTTAGCTACTTCTTTCAGCAGTACTGCAAGAGTTCGTGGATGAACACTACGATTACCACCACTGCGACTGCTGCTCTCCCTGCCTGCTCCTCCTCATCCCCCTACTTCTCCTTCTACTATTTGCTATCACGGTTACCACTTCCACCACGACCACCACTGCCACTACCAC